AGTAACAAGAAAACAGTTCTGCTTTAGTTTTGCATTTCCGACACCTTCCATTAGTTGTTTTCCTATTGTTTAACTGTAATTCCACTGATTTCAAATCAGCCACATTACTTCATTTATTCTCTATCAAACCTTGTCTCATAAATACAATGAATAAGTATGAACTCAAATACATGAATCGATAGTCGGTTGAAAACTCTATAAATCTATCGATAATATCTTTTTTTTTTTTTTTTTACAAAGCTTTACTTTAATTTTGTGATAATAATGAAATATTTTACAACGCAAAAATCGATCAAAAATAGGTATTCCTAGGTCACAATTTTGACCATCTCGACAACTATTGACAAATGGACAGTAATATATGTCATATCACAAAATCTTAACCTTACCTTAAAAGAAAATTGTTTAAGTATAGTATTGCATTTTGTGACATCATGAACGAGTGAATATTATTCATTAAACAGTATATGGGATGGTCATTTCTCTGATCACCAATAATTTAAGATACCAATCTGACGAAAAAACATAGTTTTGATCACCACACAATTTTAGATACAAATGATCACCCAAAAAAAGATACTTTTGATCACCAGGTTTTCTAAAATGTCTTGATGGTGCATCATCTAATCCTCAGACGTCATCTTCAACTTGGTTAAACATTAGTATTTCTCGTCATTGGCTTACATTTAATGAGTTTTTGGTGTGGCTACGATCTTGCTGGTTGATTGTTCCATTAGAATCATGTGCTCGTCCGGTTAGACTCAAAGACTACTCTTGTAAGCATTCGGTTGGTTTAGGAATTCTATTCAATTTATACCAAGTGAACGATAAGACATGTGTTGAATAATTAGGTAAATGAAAAAGAAAAGGACGTCCCAAGAAAGCTAACACAGCTTACGGTAAATAGATATGTTAATAAAGGTTTGAAGTATTCCTTGTCTATTTATTATTTCAATTATTTTTTTTTGGATATTATACTTCTTTGGAGAAATAAATATGGTAGATGAATGATGAAGAATCTGATGATCAAAAGTAAGTCTTCTCGGTGATCATTGGTATCTAATATTGTGTGGTTTTCAAAACTATTTTTTTTCGTCATGATAGTATCTTAAATTGTTTGGTGATCAAAACTATTTTTTTGTGGTGATTAAAGAACATTTTTTCCGTATATATGAATATCTAATTAACGTTCTCTTTTCTTATTCTTTTTTTTCTATCTGTTCTACTTGAATTCTGTCTTCGGTCAACATATCGGCTCGTCTTCTTTTCTCTGCTAATTTAAGGAATTTTTTTTTTCATATGCAAAATTTTGACAAAGAAGAAGGTTATTCAGGATTTTGTTTTTTGTGTGTGTTGTATAAATTTTGTTTTCACTTAATAATCTATTCATTGGTTTTACTTCATTGGGCTCAAAAAGTAAATCCTATCTAACTGATAAGAAAACGATTCCTTCTAAATGACTCTTTAACGGTCAATAGTCAAAGCACGCTTTATTTCTACATTCTATGATCTTTTTAAATTATATTTGCACGTTTTGTGTAGTCTTTTTTGTATGATTTTATCAAAACTTTATATATGATGACACGAAAGTATACTTACTATTGAAATCATGTTGAAATATATGAGCGTTGTCTTCTGATCACTCTTAATTGCCTTTGATACGATTATGTCGTTAACAAAAAAATCCGTTGTTTTTCTTAATTTTGCTTTCTTATGATTATCAATGAAGCATGACATCTTCACAAGGTAGTCAACATTTTGTGCAAGGATACGAGTGTAACGGCAAGCATATCGTTTTCTTTTTCTTTTTTGTTCTTCATATTTTTTTCTTCCTTTCGTTTGTTTTTATTTTTATAATAGACAAACTATGTGTTGATATTACAAGATTCAAGCGCATGATAATCAATTCTCAACAGGACATTGATCGATATAGTAATTTTCTATTCTCTTTTTTTTTCGAATTTCAATAGTTAGTAAGAATTAGTGCCAGTTTTGGGTCGATTTATGCTATCTAGACACCTCTCTGTAAAAGTGGAAAAAAATCACTCTAGGAATCATTGGTCATGAGTAGTTTGACATTGGTTCGAATTCAGTCGATTGCAGTTTTGTAAAATCATCTCAAATATTTGACACATTTTGTCAAGTTAACGAAATAATTTCAGTCAGTGGTTGATATTTTTTCAATGAAAGAAGTGATGAATTCTTGATGGCCCTGCAAATCATTCTTGAATTCGTTTTCATTTGATGGTCGTACTATTGACCATTTCAGAGTTAAGCGACCGTGGCCAGTTTTTGGATAACTTTTGATCAACTGAGGTTATCGCGCTCGGAGTTGCATAGTTGGAAAGAGCGAATTCCAATGCATCCTTCTGCATAACTTATTTCGGTCCATAGACTATTGTTTACGGCTGTTTATATGTCGATATATTGTTTTTATCTTTTTCCAACAAATTTTTTTTGATATTCTAATTCCCGTTATATCAAATTGTAGTCGGAATGTCGCTGCATATACGGTAAAATTTTGACATCTTCATATCGCCTTTTTGATCTCTTTTCTTCAACAAGATCACTTTGATCTATGCTAATTTTACAGTATATACAGCGGAATTCCAACTACAATTTGGTATAACGGGAATTAGAATGTCAAAAAAAGCTTGTTGAAACAGTGGCGGATTTAGGGGAGTGCTTCGATACGATCGCCCCCCCCCCCCAACAAAAAAAAATTTTATATTTATGAAAAATTATTTTATAATTATAAATGTTTATCGTAGACTTGCGATCACTGAAAAATTGCATCTGAATTTTCGTAATTATTCGTTTGTTTTGTCGACAACTCATGTGTTCATATGAAAAGTCAATCAAATCTCCACCAGAACGTGGAGTAGATTCATGTATCATTTCTAAATTTATTCATGAAAAAGTATTTAATGATTTATTTCCGAATATTAAATTATATAAATCACTATTATCAGGCTCATTATCAGAAATGCGAGCTGAATTTCTTCAATGGAACAATAAATGGATCAATATATGCAAGAAAAATAAAGCAACAACAAATTCATTAAATAATAATACTTCATTAAAACGAAAATTGATAACGATTCCCGATACAGCTATTGAATCATTCAACGAATGTAATGAAGCATTTTTCCTAATATTAAAGCTTTACTAAAAATATTTTCGACTTTACCTGTAAGTACGGCGACAGTCGAAAGATCTTTTTCAGTATTGAAAGTGATTAAAAGCTATTTACGTGCCACAATGGCAGAAAATCGTTTGAACGGTTTAGCATTAATGTATATATATAGAGACATTCCAATTGATGTTGAAACAATCATAACGAAATTTTCTCGTTCTAAGCATCGTGTTGATTTTTCGGTTTGATTTTTTATGTATGAACTTTATTATGTGGGACCCAACGTTTTATTTTGTTTGTTGTATTTGAAAATACTAATAAAACAATACTATATTTTGTTTAACGAAATGAATTCTGTCTTAAAATATTTTGTAAGTGAAATGATAGTACCATCTTGCATGTATTGAAAAGCGAAAATCGCACTCCCCTCCCCCTTCCAAGATTCTAGATCCGCCGCTGTGTTGAAAAGAGATAGAAACAATATATTGACGTATAAACAGTCGTAAAAAAGAGTCTATGGACTCAAATGAGTTATACAGAAAGATGCATTGGACTCCACTCTTTCAAACTACGCAACTCTGAGCTCGATAACCTTAGTCAATCAAAAGTTATTCAAAAACTGACCACGGCCATTTAACTCTGAGATGGACAATAGATTTCTATAGCCTTATTTGTTTATTGAAAAGACCAATATCAATCTTTGATTAAATTAAAGTTTTTCGTTTTCCATCTTTTACTTTTCGATATAATAAGAGAAGGATCAGATATAAGGCGGATTCCATTGTTAAGGGAGTGGGTATGAGTGTTCTGTTGACCAACACACCCTACATTCATACCCACATCCACACGCCACCTACACAAACATTCATTTCATCCAGAAACCCACATCTACACATCCGCACCCACGCACTCACATCTGCACATCCGCACCCACACCTACACACCCATACCCACGCCCACATCCTCCACCCCAACACTCCACGTCCACATCTTGTACCTGAGCAGAAATTCAGTATATGCTCTTAGAAAAGTTAATAGATACATAAATAGAGATGTCCAATCAAAGAAAATGAGTATAAGAATGTTTTATATGTGTTACGATGTGCGCTCATTTTTCATGCAACAACCACTACTTTGATTTAATTTTGCATTACTACGAGCATTTGGATTCTCAATAGGTCGTTTGCGAGGAATTTTAATGCCAGACATCTGAATTGAATCAAAGAGAATATCAAAAACCACAATTCAACAAAATCAAACACTCACTTCATTCGTGAGATCAAAGACGCCTTCTTCAATTTTATTGCAAATTTCACGAGCTGTCTTGATAAATGCCTGAATTAAAATAAAACATGGCACATTTTCTAAGTTGAGACTGCACGAAAATCTTACTTCTTCGACGTTAACAGCTGTTTTAGCTGATGTCTCCATGAATATCATTCCGTTTTCACGGGCAAAAGCTTCACCTTCTTGCTTTTGGACTTCTCGTCGGTCAGATAAGTCACTTTGAACAGTATCAATATGCAGATTTGAAATCAAACTAAAATAACTTACCATTTATTACCGATGAGAACAATGACCATGTTTGAAGTCGAATGATTTCGCAAATCATTAATCCACATTGTCAAATGATCAAATGTAGCGCGTCTAGTGAATCAGTTAAATTCAATGAAAACCTAGATTTTTTAAGCATACTTTGTGATATCATAGACAAGAAGTGCTCCAGCTGCCCCTCGATAGTATGAACGTATGATCGAACGAAACTGTTCTTGACCAGCCTACAAGACTACATTTGTAATATGAAAAACGCAAGCATATACAAACCGTATCCCAAATCTGTAATTTAATTCGTTTTTCACCAACGGTGACTATTCGAGTACCGAATTCAATGCCTTTAAAATGTTTAGATCACACGATATTGATTCATTTTTTCAAGATTGTTATACCTATCGTACAGTCATTTGCAGCTTGAAAACGCTTATCAGTAAATTGAAGTAAAAGACAAGATTTACCAACGTCTGCGAAAGAAGGGAGAACGAGAGAGCAAAAATTTATAAAAGAAAACATCTTGATAATGTCTGAAGCATACTCATATCGCCGATAATAATATACTTGAATACATACGAATAGTCCATGATGCTTATTTTATTTTCAGGTGAATAAATAGAAGTAAATCGTTAGATCAAAATCTAGAAATGAAAAGAAAAATATAGAAGATGACGATGGGTGTAGGTGTGGGTGTGGGTGTGAATGTTCTCTTCATTCACACATCTACACCCATGCCCACATCTACGAGTTCAATTAGCATCGGACACATCGGAGTATTCCTTGTGAACTAATAAATCAATCAGGCATACAAATAAAACAAGAATTTTCAAGTATCGACTCTTGGTAACAGTATTCTGGTTAAACAAGTACTGAAGAATCGTCAAGCTTTTCATGACAATATTTTGAAGAGCTCATAAAATACTACTTTTTACACATAAAGTTCGAAAACTCTTTTTTTCATGTCTAAATCCCTAGTACGAACGCTTTTTTTGCTGAGACTGCATATTTGGTCACTGAACGTAATCTATTTCACATAATATCGCACACATTTACGGGATGCCAATCAGAATGGAATTTCCATAATTTAAGTTTGAGTTCGCTGACAGTTTCAGAAGTAAAAAGTGATAGATCAGAGCTGTTACGATCACAATTGCAGCCTGAGATATTAGGTATTTTGGGATGGATAACATAATTCATGGCTAATGAGAAAATCTTTGAGTTCCCCTTCTGATGTGAAATAAGAAGCACGAGTTAGTAATGAATTAAAACCCTCTGCTATTCACCGAATGTATTTTGACTCAATTTTGAAATGTAGGGTATGGTGGATTTTTAAGTGAAAGCTAAGTTACGTGTGTTGAACTATCTTCCGGTCGGTAGTATTGACTGCGCGTTATCTACGTCCACGAAACCTGACATAAGTTGTGACTTACTTAACGTGTTTAAATGCAAGAGTTATGGACTTACATGAAGTTGTTTCAAGCTAAGGAATAAGACTGAATTCAAGCCATACATACCACAGAGACCAAAATTGAACCGAACTGAACTTGAACCAGGAAAACTCTGTTCAATTCGGCCTCTGATATATAATGTCACCAGATGACTTCGATCAGATGATGAGAGAAGATCCAAAAATGAATGGCATAACAAACCTTTTGAGACGGTAAATCAAGTTTTCGTGTGATCGTATGAAAACTTCGACGTAATTGTCGGCCACCAAAACTTAAGACAACGTGGGAAACATTTCAACGAAAATCGTTTGAGAAAAATTAAGTGAAGAAGCCCATCTCAGCAAGCGAAATGAAGAAAAGTGTTTAACGTTAGAGAATAGTCTCATTCTTTCGTAGGTATTTGCGTCCTTCAGTTGTGAGTGGTAAACATTAAAGTAAATTAGGATTGGTTATAGCGAAAGTGGATACTGATTCTAAAATGGGAGATTGGGAGGCATTCTTCAAAGTTAAAAACTTGCTGGGAGATTTTAATTTGAAAATTTGATTCTCTAGCAGGTGTGCAAAAGGCGCATAATTGTTTCTTCCGCTGAGAGATGAAATCATCTAGTCCATATTATGTTTACAGTGGACTCTGCTTTTTAGCACTATGTTTCATATTTTTACCAGTGACTCAGCTACAAAACTTGACTCATGTTTTGTGTATCAAGCCACGTTATCATATACTTTATGAAAAAAAGATACATCGTGGCCATTGTGAAATTCACTTGAGTCATGATACTGAGGACAAATCATATGATGATAGGAAGGTGTTGGCCAACATGTTGGTAAGACAACTGAATAATTCGATTTTTTGTCTGAAGACTAGGTATACTAATGAAAATGAACCTACTTGATAATTGATCAGGCGTATGGCTGAACAACAATTATAATTATTAGTGTGTAAAAAGAGAAGGGGGAAAAGTATGTTTTACAGGCACTTCAGAATGTAAGAGTACGTGTCAGTTGCATCAGCTACCATGAATACGTTGTCATACTTGATAATGTTTTTAGACAACACACTGCAAAAATGTTCGCCACTGAAAGAACACCTGCGTCAAAAACAAGAACGAGATAAGATGATCGAATTCATAACAAATGCAGAATAAAAGAGAGACATCTACTCGATTTCAATAGGTAAGAAAAGTTATCAAAGTGATTTGCTATTATGCGACTGTAAATATTGTTTCGTGAATTAATCCAGTAATATTTTAAGATGAAAGACTACTTGCCGTAATTCTTAATAAAATGTTACGGGCATTCTCATCAAAAATAAATACACTATTGCTTTGTAGAAGGCTTTTGGTTGGAGGCGAAATCAGATATTTTGTTCTAAGTAGTTTTATTTGCCGATTATGTGTAAAATCATAAAAACGGTGGAGCCGCGTTGAACAATTTGCCAAGTCAGCAATGATGAGAATGTACTTACGAGGAAGTAGATGAATAGATTACAATCATGAATAAAACTGTCGAGAATAGTATGTTGTCATGAAATGAACTTAGAAAATTCTGAACTTTTCCTACGACCGAAAGGTAGGCACACAACCTAGATCACATTTCAGATGAGTTTTTCTAGTTACTTTACCGGTTTGATAATGTTTCGATTCTTGATATACTGATAAATTATCCAGAAATATCTGTCGCTCAGAATTTGAATAGATTTGACGTGAGTCATATGTAGATGTTGGCATTTTTTTTCCTAACAACAGCAATCACTCACACCCAAGGGAAATATGATACTTCATACTCCACGTACTTTAACCTACTTTACCGTACTTCAAGGTATTTTACCATACTTTACCGTACTTTAACATACTTTAAAATACTTTAACATACGTTTATGCAATTTGAAGTAATTTAATTCACATCCCTTTACTTTTGCTTCTTTTCAAGTTAAACTTTCTACTTATATTGAAATTATACTAATCCAATAGAAATTATATAATTAGCAAACATAATATATAGTGCACTATTCAAGCTTTTCATGGGGCCCTAAAAGAATAGGAAAATTCTGCGTAGTAGTTTTCAACGTTGTATTTTCTATTATTGATAATCGTTGATCGAAAATACAATCTTTATACAACAAGCAAGCATTTCTAGTAGAACAAAACTAGGGCAGGGCAGTTATCCTTACAATAACAGTTATTAGGTAACACGTAACTCAAATTCATTGCCGCAGTTTCTTGATAAGGGAGGGATATTGCGAGGAAATAAAGATTTTTTATAAAATTTGATCAAAGATAATCGGAGTCGAGGAATCCGAATCTGTAATTGGTTTCTCAAAATTCTTCATCTTGATTTCTCTTTATAAAAGCCCATTATTCCCGAGAAATAGCTTTCCCCTGTCGAGAAAGTAGAGTGATGAGTCTTAAGAGAGTTCATGAGAGGATCAAGAGGGTGTGGGGGTGTGGGTGGGTGTGGAGCAAGAGGGAAACAGCAGACTTTGTACTTGAACGTAATTTACACTACTTAAACGCACTTTGAGCTACTTTAAAGTACTTTTCTGTAATTTTAAAGTGTTTTTCAAAGTACTCTCATATATTTTTAAAGTACTTTGATATACTTCAAGTCTGCCGTTTCTCCCTTGGTGTGGGGTGTAAGAAAGAACTATACCTACACCCACACCCACACCCACACCCACACCTACACCCACACCCACACCTACACCCACACCCATACCCACACCCACCCACACCCACACCATCATATTTCCGTATAAAAGTAGAGTTCAACAAGAATGGAATCTCGCAGAAACTCCAATTGAATTACTCAAATTGTCGTACTGAAAACTAGTCAGATGTATGTAAGAAAGCAGCACTAAATCATTTGGTAACCTTTTGAAGTAAAACGTAAGGGAAAATATTCAAGTTTTCATAAAAACAAAAGAAACTGTCGATTAACTTCCTGTAATTTGTATTAGTAGAGAACTCGTAAAGTAATGTAAAGCAGCCACTACTAGAAGGTGTGAAATCTCGGAAAATCTGAATATGAATGAACCGCAACAAGCTATTAAAGTGATGCAACAGTCTTTTACGTTCTAACAAAAAGACGCTTGCTTGATTACAAAAAAACCCACCTCTACTATTTTTTGCTTAACATACCATAAGATAAAAAAGAATGCAAATAGAGATAATAACTTCTAGGTCAAAAAAATGACGTATCTTTTCACCGTTGAATCTTCAATATATGTTTACCTATCATCAAATAACTGAAAATATAGGGTTAATTCATTTGACTACACGCTTGAGTAGATTCTGACTTCTATCAACTGTTTCATTCCTCTCTCTATCTAAACAAACTCGCTTTTAACTGACGATAAACTACTTCTACACTGTAGGCTCATAGCTACAAGAAAAAACTGCTTTCGACTATGAAAACCATATGACGATGTATATGGAGAGTTTACAATTTTTATTCTGTGGCAGACCAATGAAATGTTTCTTATATTGTGCTTCTCTTTCTCAGTTTTTGCTGTTCAAGATGTCTCGCAACGCTCTCGTTACTGGTGCTGCTCGACGCATCTGACGTGCCATTGCTCTCCGTCTTGCAAGAGATGGTCTTAATGTTGCTGTCAATGATATCAAAACAAGCTCTTCAAGTCTCAACGAGACTCAGCAAGAAATCGAAAAAATGGGTCGCAAATCCGTTGCTATCGTGGCTGATGTTTCTATTGATAAAGCAGTCGAAACATTAATGCAGAACGCTGCAAAAGAACTGAGCAGTTTAAATGCATGCATTTCTTTTTTTTTTTTGTTGCTTCATCTTTCTTTCTATGCACTATATACAGGTAGTAGTCGCTAATGCAGGAATTGTCGAAGTGAAACCAATTCTTGATATTACTACAGAAGATTGGAACAAGATGTTTGCAATCAACATGCGGGGTGTGTTTCTTTGCTATAAAGAGGCTGCTGAAGTCATAATTGCGCAAGGCACGAGAGGCAAAATCATTGGTGCCTGCAGTATTGCCAGATACTCATCAGCTCCAATGCTAAGTCATTATTGTGCTAGTAAATGGGGTGTGCGTGGTCTCACACAAGCCGCTGCCATGGAATGGGCTAAATACAAGATTAAAGCCAATGCTTATTGCCCAGATATGTTTTATACTATTTTTTAAAAATACAAATCTAATGATCAAAACAGAAATTGTCGGAACTGCGATGTGGGATTTGATTTACGAAGAATTAGCAAAAATTCAAGGAAAGCAAAAGGGAGAGGTCATTAAATATTATTCAGACAACGTCATAGCTCTTGGCCGTACAAGTCATCCTGAAGATGTCGCAAGCCTTGTGTCGTATTTGGCTAGCAAAGACTCTGGTTATATGACTGGACAGAGTGTTATCATTGGCGGAGGGGTCAGGTTTTCTTGATTTCAAGTTAAATCAGTTTTAAAATAAGACTTCTCATATATATCTTCCCTAGAGAATATACTGAGTTAAGGGTACCCAAAAAAGTACCCTGATACCAGTATGTCACAGGAACTTTTGGGTACCAAAGTACTTGCGGGTACTTACAGGTACCTAAGTGGTACTTTGGCAAGTACCCTCCTGGAAAATGCACAGTAATTGGGTACCTAAAGGTACTGATCAAGTACTGAATTGGGTACCATTGTATAGTATTTCTAAGTACCCTGTTACCAAATTTTCAGTATGTTCAGGATCGAACCTGATCTTTGACTTTTTAAAATTTTTTCTTTTTCTTGAGATAATTTACTAGATTTTTTTAAACTTTATTCAATTTAATTTTTTCAATTCCAAAAACTTAGCAGGAACAATGTCAGGATCCGACTCAACTTGAGTTGGTCGTAGACCACTTCAGGGTAGTCCGATCTTAATTTACGACCAAGCTCGGCATTTCCTCGACTAAGAAATAGTCAAGAAATAATTTGGAAAAAACTAGTATGAAAATTGATTATTTTCTTATGATTTATCGAGTTGTTTATATAGAGCCGTACGTAAAAAAGAAAACGATGAATGAATAGTCGCCACACAGAACGCGAAAAATTTAGGATACCCTGTCGAGATTTCCTCAGTAAAGTTACAGACTTGTGTATCCATGCAGGTACTTATTCAGTGAATGTACTTTTACGGGTACCCCAAACAGTACATACATCAGTAAAATTACTGAGAATTTTCAAAGTACCCATATTGGGTACCCTGCTAGAGCTTTCTCAGTATATGGGTACCCTGAACTCAGTACTTTCTCTAGGGTTGGATCAAAAGTTATCATTATGACGACATCATATAATATCTCTGACTGTGCATGTATATATATCTGGGTGTGAATGTAAAAACTAGAGGATACCCATACACCTATGTCCACTCTCACACTTTCAAGTTTGTGTTTACGAAAACCATTACCAAATCGATTCTAAATTGACATATAGATTTCAACTATGTTGCAGTGTACATGTTGGTCTATGCGAGAGTAAAAATGTTTTCTTCAGAATGAAATCACTCTTCTATACAAAAGCATCATATTAACTTAGAAATGTTCTTTGTATTTATTAGCATTCATATACATGTGTTCGGAATAGTTATTAGTCTATAATAATATTCTTCAGTTTTTGTTGCACTTCTAATATAAATGCATAGTTGAATAGTGAAGAAGTTGTTCTTACAAAAATAAAACATAAAGTTCAAATCTTATCCCTTGGAAAAGATTATTGTGTTCATGTATGGATGCCTAGTCGTACTTTTTCTTTCACGTCCTTGATATGCATGGATCTGAAGATGTGTTCATATCACATGACTTTCTTTCTATAGACAAAGTGCATAAGTGCTAGTACGAGTTATGTGCACTTTCAAAGCAGTTCATACGTTGGACTCATGAAAACCATGCGAATAAGTACACTGGGAAGAATCAGCTGACATAAAATAATAAAAACTTTTCTGCTCAATATGAAAGAATATTCTTTGCCATTGAAGATATCTGAACCTACTTAATCATATAGATTCTCTTTTTTTGCATGTCTACTACAGATTTTATTAGTTAAACTATGAATTTGGATCATGAACTGAACTATTTTGAATGTGAAACTAAAGGAAAAAAACAAAAACATGTATAAAATATAATTAAAATGAGTTTCTCGCATCATAGAATTCCTTCTTATAGTTATAAAAGATGATCAAATCCAATAGAGTATTACTCTCGTTAACTTGTAATAGAAGTGGACTTTTATTACTAATCTGTGCTAAGTGTAATATTTTCCATAAAACATTTCGTTTGTGACCATTCTTACACACATTTGAACAAGGAGTTCAAGATATGCTTCGTTTTTTGTCATCCTAGAATATTTTTGCATGTTCATGCTGATATTTTCGTTGCGAGTAATCGTGAATATAGTTTACCTAATAACAAGTTCAAATGCATATCATGTAAAAGCACATCATGCATATGCTTGTAGCATATTGTAAGCAGCTCTACACGCGTTTTTGTAAGCTGTCACGTTTGATTGGATAGTCGATACAAAACTGACTCATGTGATTTACGTAGTCTTTACCATAAACAAGTGTCTGTTATCTACTTGTGTACAGTGATGATGTTTTTGATGACGATGGATATTTTCCTTTGTGTGTAAGTTGATAAATCAATATTATGAAGGTGAAAAATTGTTAGATATCTATTCAATTGAATGTAATTATTGTACAGCGGTCTTCGTATTGATTTATTCTCAAGAAATTCTTGAACAAAACTTATTAATTTGAATTTTTCAATGAAGATCCGAGACATTGATTAATAATTTGAAAGTAAAAATAACAAAGGAAGAATATTCTGCTCAGAAATGAAGTTAAAACTTACAAGCAAACAGACACAAGTCATACTCATTGTTACAAATATTAGAAACAATAATGCAGATTGATAAATTCATGGGCCTAATTGTGCGAATTTTGTTTACAATCAAAGTCAAATTCTAAATTGTTTGATTTTCTCGCATGATATTTATTGAGTATTCGAAAAGATTTCTGGTTTAATGAAAGAGAAAAAACAAGGAAAAAAAATTAAAACTTAAGCATTGAAGTTCAATTAATTTTAAACCATACATAAGCTTCGATAATCACGTATTTCAAGTCTTTTAACAAATAATACGAAGTTTAACACCATAATGATCCGAAAGACTTGTTATAATCGTTCCATTTGTAGAATTGATTTCTATTCGTCCATCGAATATGCGTCGTGTGAATAATTTTAATGGATTAAATATAGGTCCATGTGTAAAGATATGATCAATAATATATTGATTAGTATTATTAACAACAAGATTATCTGTACATATTGTACAACGGCTATGCATTTCTGTATAATCATCATACCATCTTGTTGATCCATTAGTATCATTTAATTGATGTATATAATTCCAACTATCAGGTTGAATTGCTAATACATTATGTTCAACATTAGCAATACCCATATTAAAATCACCTGCCATAATGGCATTTTTATATGTCTGTTGGTTATTACGTAAAAAATTCCAAACAAGAGATTCAAGTTCTATTGTTTGACCTTTATTTTCATCATTCCAACTACCATATGTATTATTGAGAAATGTTCCAATAGATGCATGAGGAAAAAGTGTTTCAACTGTGGCAACATGTGTATTGGCAATAATTAACTGTTTGTTTTCTTGACTAGCAATAATATAACCACGAGGTGCAATATAAAATTCTGAATATAAATTAGCTGCTAGTTTTTTTAATGGATATTGTCTTTTTGATAATATCATCAGACCTATTGAATGATCCCAAGGAGCTTCGGTGGAATTAGGAATAATACCTGGTGAAATACTAATCAATTGAGGTAAATTAATTGCACCACAATAGTTCAAACCTAATCGATCACCACGACTAATAAATCGATCAAAAATACATGCCCAACATCTTGAATTCGTATAAAGAGCAAGAAATTCTGTTCGGCATCGAGCAATGGCACATATAAGTAGTGCTGACTCATTAACATTAGAACAATATGTAAAAAGACATATTTGTGTATTCGTTATGTTTGAAGCTACACAAGCAGGGCTATATGTTTGTGTTGATAATGGATCACTACTAATATAGTCACGCATATCATCATTGACAACTTCAAAATGAGGATAAATATCTTTGACGAATTGATAAATTTGACGTAAAATTTGTGGACCACCCCATACTTCTTGTAAACAAAGAATATCAACATTACTCTCACGAATAGCTTGGATAATCGATGATGTCCGTTCAAATGCTTGTTGTTCTTCTAAACCAATATTCCATGTTGCAAATGTCGTCACATTTCTACGAGATTGTGCATAAGTAATTAGTGATATCAATGAAAAAAAATAGATAAACATTGAAGAATACATAATTGTTGTCTTTTCAATTACAGATTGATACAAGTTGAAAGGACAGACAACACATGGTACGTTTTATACCTTGATGTGACAATACAATACACGTGAATCAATGAAAGAAAAGAGAGTGCATTTTTGACGCACGGTAAATATGAAATTTTTTCCCATATTTACCATTAATCGTAAACAATCAAAATATAGATCATGACGATGAGTAATTGGATATTTATAAGAAGATTATTACGTTTAAGTGACGTTTTTAGCCATTTGTCAAGTTTATTAAGTATTCTCACGTTGTTGAAATAATTTTTATCAAAACGACTCAAAATATGGATCATTTTCTAGTTAATTAATTCGAACAAGTCAATAGTGTAGGCCTTGTCGTAGACTGAATTCAGTATGTCAAAAGAATCACATGAAATATTGCTCTTTCATATTGAAGCCTATATATAAACAGAGGAACCTTCTCAGTTGTCTAAATTTAACATTAAAAGTTACAAAATTAACGTTTGTAAAAACTAAATATGTTTCACATCAAGTTTTTAACGATAGTTGCACTATGTATCACTTGTAATTCAATATCAAATCTCTTATTATGATATAATAAATATTTTCGTTGTTATTCAAATATCATGCTTTTCCACACAGAACTAAAAAGTGAAAGGAAATGTTCGTCAATGATTAGCAATAGACATAATAATATCCATCAATAATAGATCTGTACTGTTACAAACGCTTTTCAATCCACAACGAATTTCTATCAGATCTGAATGAAATATGTACCTTAACTGTCCATCGATGGGATTCTACGCTAAAATCAACGAATCATTCCGAGACTATTCTTTACACAGGCAAGCGAGAAGTGTGACAATAGCACGAAATATATGTTGCATAATGATTTAATTTCCCATGGACTTCTAGCATATGTCGAGGAGCTCATATTCTTATTTTTGGGCGCCCAGAACTCTTTACATCTTTGAAAGTTCACAATTTTTTGCAAAAAAAATTCATTCAAAGGCATCCGAACGATAATTAAACCAGCGTATCGAAACCGCTCAGAAGTTCAAATTGCGATGTTTTAGCCTTTTATCTTTAACACATGTATCGAAAACTATTGCAATTAAGTTGAGATTGATTGACATTAATTAAATTATACGAAGATAATATCTTTGGTTTAATGGTTTATATTTCATGCGAGCTGAACCTTGATCAATTATTGTGGTTTATGCCCTTACTATTTCTGCTGTTCAAACAATGTTACAGTACCACGACATGAGTATCCAAAGAATGTTCCTGATATTTTTAGGAACAATACATCTATATAATGATTCGTCGGAGAGTTGTTTTTCTTTCTTCTATGTTTCTTGTTGGACATATGCAGGAAAATTCACCAGTTAGTGTCACAATGATCGCATCATGAAAAGTCAACAGATATTCATTGGAATGCACAATGAATATATCAAGATCGAGTAGACACTCATCGATTTGTTTATTTTCTTGTCTATGTAACATATAATCAAAGCATAAAAGAAAAGGTCTTACGACCTTTATCTAAGATGACAAATGGTAAATAAAGATCATTTTATAATGTGAAGTATCTATACAAACATAAGCAGATTATAAAAGTAATATGGACAGAGATATTTCACACGAGCCAAGTATTGGTAAGTCTTCAAAGATTTAAAAGCAAACTAGAAATATATCTAATGAGAAATTTGTTGTTATTGTTTATTTTGATATACTAACATATATATCTTGAAACATAGATATTTATGATGACTATTAACATTTCCATGAAAAAGAAATATACCTATTAATAGATTAAAAAAAGTATGCCAGTTAGTTTTATTTTCAAATCACTTTTTACAAGTACAATGAGAAGAAATTTTTCATGGATTTTATTATTATCTTTACCTACCTCTAGGTGATATTGATTCAATTCATCATTATCGTCCTGTTCAATCTCCTCTTACTAAACATCGGCGTATATCCATTATATCAATTGTTCAACCAGATCCATTGAAAATTGTATTACCAACAGATGAAGGAACACTGAAAAAACATCTTGGTTTATTTTCAAGAATCTGTTTTATTGTTGGTAGCATCATTGGTAATTGATTATCTTTTATATTGTTTGTTTATTATGAATTGTTTCTGACTATTAGGTTCTGGTATATTTATCTCTTCTAAAGATGTTTTGTCAGAAACACAACCAGTTGGTCTCTGTTTGATTATTTGGGTTGCATGAGGTTTAGTCTCTTCACTCGGTATGTTTTACAATATTTTCTATGTGTAAGAGACAATTTATGTTCTTTTCTTGTTTCAGGAGCATTTTGCTATGCAGAGATCGATACAGTTATATCGAAACATGGAGCAGAAATTGCTTATTTATCTAAAAGAAGGTATACTTAATGTGTGGTTTTAAACTTTCAACTTTTCTTCATAAATTGATTTTATATATATGATGAATACATATTTAGATAGTTGACTGAAATATAGAATTGTGTAAAAAAAAAGACTAAAGCTACAATCTGACAAGGAAGTAGTTCGATTTGCATCGAAATAATAAGAAATTATGATTATTTTATTAATCATGAGTAAGTATTATGCATCTTGCATTTTTCTATAATATATCAACGTTTGAAATCGAACGGGACATTAGTTTCTAGATATTTTGAGATAAAAATTAGAGGAAATCAAGCACTTTAATAAAAATCTTACATATATTGTATAAGACAATATTTAATATGGGCGAGAGGCACCGAGACCAGTACTAATATTTGTTCATCAGGAGTGATATCCTGTATGATCGTGTAAAACTTTCGCCAAATCTCATATCCTCATGACTTATGTGTTCTAAAAGTTCATGCAAACATTATTCAACAACAATCATGTCAATATTTAAGTGTTATAATTATGATAGCAAAATGAATCAATTTTTTTCTAAATAACAGAATTGTCGAGCACATAAAGGTGTAGAATGAATCAAGTATTTGGAAGTCGTGGTAAATCTCAAATTGTTACCAACTTTTAGTAAACTCACTATTAGGTGATTTTTGGCAAAAATAGCCGATGATAAATAATAGAAAAGCAGATATCAAAGATAAAAAACAAAAAATTTTATGCCGCTCATACTATCATTTTCTCGGCTATGATGGCAACGACTATTCATTCTACTCCAATGACATAATCTTATGATCACCAGCAACTTAATCAGTATCCTAACTCTAGAAAATCGTATCGCATTCTTCTACTTGCGATTGGTCTCGTTCATCAATAAACAGTATGTTTAATTTTCAATAACTTCAGTTTATCGACTGTTAGCTGATATTTCGAGACTAGATTATTTTTCCTAATGCTGAATACATCAAATATTTATTCGTCTTTCTTATGTCTTTTAAAATTTGTATTGAAAACTAGATTAGCCTTTCATTTTATATTCATACTCTCATAGAGTTTGTCGAACTCTATCAAATCATGTAAAAATATTTTAAATAACAATATTTTGTTTCTGCAGAAAAATGTAAGATGTAAAATGTTTTCTTTTTCTACACGTCTCTATATTTCAGTCATTTATCTATATATGTATTCATATAGATAATGTCTGTTTACAGACAAGAATCGAAACTTTTAGACTATTCTTTAGATAGGGAAAATAAAAGATTAAGATTATTCTAGCATTGTCGAAATGTCATATACATCCATTTCTTTTATTTTATTTTCTTTTCAAAGTGCATTAAAAACAATTATTGTGCTAGCATTGGCAGATATTATATTATTTTTTACAAATGATTTGATATAAATATATTCATTAATAAGTATTGGATCGGTTCATGAGAGAACAGGCGATATATTAGCGTATCTTTTCTGTTGAACAAATACATTTATTATGAGATCATCAGGTATTGGAGTTCTTACTGTTAGCTTTGCTCAATACTTTTGGTCTGGCATCATGGAAGGTAAATTGGCTTCTGTAAATAATTGTTCATCTTATACATTTAAAATGTGAACCTCCAAAAGAATTGATCAAAATGACAGCTATTTTTGCTCTTTGTATATACATTTTTTTTTGTTTACTTAGTGATTTTATAATTATCTTTTGTTTTATAGTGATGTTGATCAATATTAATTGTATCAGTGTATCTGTAGCTAATCGTCTTAGTATTATATTTGTTATCAGCAAGGTACCGACTATTATAACAGTAATAATAGCTGGTCTTATACGGATGGGAAAATGCTTATTCTTATTCTATTCGAGAAATACAAGTAAATCATTAAAGAATTTTTTTTATAGGACATACACAAAACTTGCAAAATAGTTTTGATGGTAGGATGTAGTTGATTATGATAATCAAGCGAATAACATATTTGCTTACGTATCATATAGGTACGACAAAAATTCCGTTGGATGTTGCACTTGCATGCTACTCTCGCCTTTGAGCATATGATGGATGGAGTTGTCTTAATTCAGTGACAGAAGAACTCAAAAACCCTAAAAGATAAGATTTTTCATAGATATGATCTTCTCTAGATAAGTGAACATATTCATGTTGTTACATCGATTCTCGTTTTATTTATTAAAAAAAGCTTAATGTTGATAATATTTTTGTGACCATCCATAGAAGACGTCCTAACACTTACTATGAAGATTTTCGTTTTTTTTTCATACAAATTTGCACGAAATTTTAAAATTTAGTTTGTTTTAAAGAGCATTGTTAAATAGGAAATGAATTAAATCAATCACATGAAATAATTGAAGATTATATTAGATGAGAAGATAGTTATCTTCTCAAGCTGTAACATGACCGTATTACATTTTTGAGTGTCATTTGCATTGAATTTTAATATATTTTTACTATATTCTGTTCATTAAGAGTGAAGGTATGTCAAAAAAAAAACAAAAACTTTGCCATAGGTCATGAGCAACGTAAGACCATTTTTTAGTGAAAACAATGAATAAATTTTCTCAAAGGCCTATTGCTCATTCGTCTTGATTTTCATGTTAACGGGCATCTCAAATTTGAAAAATTATTCGTTTCTTGAAAAAAATTACAGGCGTAACAATCAACTGGAATGATCAAGGCGTTATCCTTCAGGTTGTGCACTTAACGGGTGATGCAAAAGTTTCTGAAAAAATATCGCTTCATTTTTCATCATTTATAACATGTTTTGTAAAGATAAAAAATATCTATTCAGAATCTTCGCTGAAAGCGCTTTTTAATTATGTGTTCAAAAAATTTTAATTTTACCTTACCTTTGAGTAATGACTTGTTGATTTCCGTATCAGCAAACATAAGCAACTATTGAAGATTGACAAACGAATAATGTAAATTCATTCTCAATATATTCAGACATATTCATCTTGCATTTCAGCGAATATACTTTCTAATGTTCTTTTCTCGAGATCATCATGGTGCGAAACGGTAACGTTTGATGTCTACGTGTAGAACTAGATAGTAATCTTTTTATGATTATCAGCAGATGTATTTTCTATCAACGACATCTATATGAAATCTTGAAGTAGTGAATAAATCCAGAATATTTTTACATGATATAGTCGAGAGTTGAGAAAACAAAATAATTGTCTTATGTTAATTAGTATATCGACAGTTTTTTTGTCTTTTTACAAATACCACTTCTGTACAAATTACAGAGAGCAGCACAAGCAAAACATTTTTCTGGTAAAAAACCTCTTAGTAGAAATTTGCCACTAACGAGAAGTATCTCATCTGGGCGTAAACTAAATTTAGCACTTCTTGATACCTAAAGCATCGATTTTGACTCATTGTTTTGAAAGTACAACTAAAGTCCATAACTGACGCAGAATGTGGAGCAAAGTGTGAGTCATTCTGCGTCTGATAGCATACCAAACAAAAGAACGAAAGATAGTTTCACGGCAAACTGCAATATAGATGCTTCGAACGCACCACATTGACCATAGAGCCTACCAGTTGATTAAATGGTGTTTCTTCGAGACCAATGAAAAATCTCATCGATATGAATCATATTATCTAACGAAAATTGTTTATTTATTTAATTTTTTCAATAAACACTGACCATCATGACTGAAGAATATCGAGGTGTAATGGATTTACATGGTAAAAATGCTGTTGTTACTGGTGCTAGTAGGGGTACTGGTAAAGTGATAGCACTAACATTAGCTAAAGAAGGGTGAATTATTTAGATTTTGAATCTTTTTTTTTTTTCTTATTTTAATTCTTTTAGTTGTAATGTTGCTTTGTTAGCACGTTCTCGTGATGCTCTTGAAAGTGTAGCTACAGAATGTTCAAAATATGGTGTCAAAACTCATGTTATTATTTGTGATATGTCATCAAAACAATCAGTTGACGATGCATGTAAACAAATTAGTCAAATATTTCAAAATAAATTAGATATACTTATAAATAATGCTGGTACTTTGGGTGAACATGTTTCTGCAATAGAAGAAAAAACACCATCAGGAAAAGACGTAGTGGATATGTGGGAAGAAGTAATGACAGTAAATTTATTAAGTTTAATGCGAATAACAGGACGATGTTTACCAATGATGAAAGAATCTAAACATGGTGCAATTATTACTATGTCATCTCTATCAGCAACGGTAAGAACAAAAAAAGTATAGAAAAAATTCAGTCATTAATTTGACTTATTCGATAAACAAGAAGATTGATTGGTATTTAATTTATAACTTTCATGTGGTTTTTTCTTTTAGATGACCAATGGTGAATTAGCTCAATATTATGCTAGTAATTGGGGAATGAATGGATTTCTTGGTTCAATTTATGAAGGTCTGATAGAATTATTTAATATTTATTTAATTTAATTTTTCTCTTTTTGTTAGATGTTCGTGAATATGGTATTAAAGTTTGTGCTATTATGCCAGGTTTTGTCAATACTCCAATGATTCATGATGGTAGATATAAATTAAATTTTGATAAATGTATTCAATCAGAAGATATTGCTCAAGGTGTTCTTTATATTTTACGAACACCTTATAATGTATGTCCAACAGAAATTAAATATCGACCACAATATACACCATATTTGAAATGAGAATATTATTTTAAACTGTTAGAATAAATTTTTGCTGTTTTCTAAAATAAAAATTGATATTTAGCTGAAATAATACTTCTACTTCATTAATTTTGAAATGTTAAGATCAGATTATAAATTAAATGATTCAATGTTTTCTCTCTACATATAAGTTTATAAAAACGAAAAAATGGTTCTATTGGTGTCGAAAGAACTAGAACTCAGCAACTCTTTTCAATGATGGTCAAAATAAAAAGGTGAAGTTTCTTCTATGAAAATGTCTAAGATGTTAACTCTTCTAGAACTTAAAAAAGTATTATGCACAATAATCAAAAGTTTTACCATAAAATCTATTCTATTTGCTATTCAGAATCTTTTTTTCCTTTTCAAAATGATTGTTCAGTTTACTTTTTACAAATTTTGTCAAATTTTTTATAAAGATGAATGAAAAAAAAACCAAGAACTTTTCCATAACGCTTCATACTAAGTAAAATATCGTTTTTAATTGTTGGCATCACTAAAAAATTGCATGACCATGAACATAGTATATCAATGAATAGACGTTTCAACAAAGAAAGACCATTTCTTCTGTCTGATAGAGTATTGCTATTACTCTTTACATGATCCATTGACATCGTCTATTGTATACTTGATAATTTTAATACATTAACAATTCTTTTCTCATTTCATAATGGCATTATATAAACAACTACTCTCAATAACAAGTTGATTATAATTTTCTTCGATTATCTTTTTATATCTAGTAAACTGATGTTGAAAATATTCCTTATAGAGCAGATAAAAACAAATGGTGTTGCCGGTAAACAATAACTGAATGTTGATATGAATCTTTTCGAATTATCAACATATTACAAAAAGACAAAACAATGACAGCAGATAAAAGCTTAAAAACAAGAAAAAAATTCGATGGATTATATTAATTTTCATCAGAAATGACTACTTGCTGTCATGTAACAATTCGTGCACAATTCAAAGAGCTTACTAAAAATTCATATTTGTTCTAAAATTTAATGTTCTTTGTCCTTGAATCGATAGTTTATGTTTTTCTTGAGTCCTATCGAAATTCTTTTTTGATAACTATGGTTTTTATCATTGCAACTAATTATCATCGATTCTCATATACCTGTATGATATTTAGTTTTTTTTTTGTTTAACATAGACATTCATTGCGTTTAATTGTGACTAAAAATAAATAAATTATCATGCAGCATTATCTTTTAATTAATCTATTACAGAATAATACACTAAGATCATATTCTATCATTGATCTTAAGTCCATTTCCGTCAGATAAATTAAAATTAAATTAAATTCTAGGTAGGATCTTTAACAAACAAATTTTCGATGATTTCTATCACCTTCTGCTTACTTTAAAATCAAGGATCTCTATCAAGTTTTGCATCTTGACATGCTCTTTCAAAGAAAAACGAATTAATATAATAGAATTAGAGTTTAGAGAGAATTTTAGGCTATCTAATGGGCTATTTCTGACTCTTTTAATTATATCATGGTTTTCTACTTTGACCCAGACTAATTCTGTTCAAAGATTCTTTGATTTATTTATCAAACGACTAGAAGAATATAAGAATTAGAACAGTATAAGAAAAACAAAAGAACTTCTATCAATTAAATTTGCGCTAAAATCCATGATTGTATATCATCAATCATTGTTTTTTCTTGTTCAGTTTCAACTTGTTTTCGTGTTTGTTGACAAGCTTGTCGAATATTTTCACCAGTATAAATTTGTCCAACAAGATTTTCTTTTAAACGATTAATCATATTTACATACAATGAATCCGAATAAATTTCACATCCATGAATAAGTCCATCTCGTTGAGAAATAATTCCAATTGATACTGTTCCCCATGGAAAACGTTTTTCATATTCATGTGTAAATGAAAATGTTTGTCCATAACGCCATTGTGAATCACTAAAAAGTTTATATGATGTATTTAATTCAGGTATTAAATTAAGTGTTTCTCGTGATAAAATTTCAACCGGTTGAATTTTATCTTTTGAATATGTTTGACGATAAGATTTTTCAATAGCTGAACAAAGATCTTTATGATTAATAGATTGATTTACTTCACATAAATTAATAACACGTGCTTGAACGGAATCAACACCTTTAGATTTTAATTTTTCTTTATTTGGATTTAAATATTTTTGCATAGCACTTGTATCAACATGAGTTATTAATGTACCATGATGAAGAGCAAATTTAGATGTATTTTGATAAGCTGAACCAGAAAATTTACGTTTATCTAAACCATAGACAAGATCATTACGACCATGTATATGACCATCAATATTAAATGATGTACGAAGAGCATCAAGAAGAATTTTTGAATTGAGATTTTTATCTAATTCATGATGAGCTTGTGAAACAAGAAATGTAAAACATGTATTGCCTAAATCTTGATACACAGCACCTAAATAAATATATGAATTCTATTTAATATACTCATAACTAAATCGTCATATTGAAAATGTCAATTATCAATTGTGATTCTACACAAAGATAATAGAAATTAAGAGTATTCGTCTTCCTGAACCTCGAGCTATAATTATTTTACTGAATTTTAAATATTTAATGTTCTTTTATTAAGACATTGAAGTTTCAATTTAAATCTATTTTTGTAACATGTCTGTAACAAATGAACAGTTTTTTTAAAGAAATTCAATATTTCATACATAAGAACATTATCTTGGGTTAAAATTTTTATATATTCTACGGACTACTAGACCTACTCATCAACAATAATTTTATATCAAAATTCGTTTTTTTCGTTTGAAGATATATACTTAAACATCGATCACTAAGATGTATATATAGGTATAAATGTGCGATATCTCTTTCGAATCGCAAGTCCAAAGATAAAACATGTAGAACTAAAACTTGATCAAATCGTAATAATAGGCGTTTTCGAGATTTACGAAGCACAGCTACACAAGTTTCTAATCATGATATATTACAATGAAAAGCTTTATTTCATTTTATCAACCGGAAAATTAATCGCTAAAGTTTTGCGATTTACAATTCACGAAATTATTATGTTTTACAAATCATTGGACTGAGATTTAGGTAAAAAAATGTAAAATTGACTGAACATTTCAAGTACATCTTCAATCCGAGACTTAGAATTCAAAAAAGGTTCTTAATTCATCCATCGGGTATCTACTGAATTTAAATTTTTAATCAATCAGTGTTCACATCGAATAGTTCGGTAAGAAAACATAACTTTTTACTTCTGAAGCATCTTGGAGTACACTATTAACTATCCTATATATAAAAACAAGTATTCAAGATAACAACCTATTACATCTATGCCTTTATTCAGTGTTTTTTTCTGTATGATAAATTGATCCGACATACAGTGGTGTTCAAACCTCAGTAATATAAATATATACTTTTTTTTAGCTCTGTTTAGTCGGTCACTAACTTATTTTACTAATTTTTTATGGTCTAATAGATTCTATTTCGAATATTTTTCTCAAAAAAACTTACCACCACCAGATCGTCGTCGTGCAAGTAATACGCCATCATTATCCATTCGTTCTAAAAAACATTCTTTCTAAAAATTTTTTGAAATTCTTGATTTCTATTTAAAAATAATTAAATATTTACCCAAGGATTTTGATTTCGTCCAATAATAACACATTTATCATTTTGCCAAAGAAATAAAATATGTTCATTTGGTTTAATTGTATTTGATAACCATTCTTCTGTTGCTAAATTAAACCAAATATTTGTTGATGATGAATAAATAATTCGATGTATAGCTTCATGTTTTGTTGAATAACGTCGACAAAATTGTATTAATGGAAATCGTAATTGAAAAAGCATAATCTAAAAAATAAGCTTTTTTTTTGTTTTTTTCTTTTTAGATATTAAATGAAATATATTTATATGGAATTCATCATAAATGTTGATGGAAAGAAAAGACAAAAAAAGAGAGAGAAAATTTATTTATTTATTTGTTTATAATTAAACCAACCACCACTTGTTAAACTATTTGTCTGTTTTTGACTTTCAATTTTAGCTTTTTCTTTTGTTGAAAAATGTAATATTGTCATTAAAGCATTTGCCATTGTATGTTTAACTTGTGTATCATTAGCAAGTAAATAATGATAAAAAACATTTTTAATATAATCAATATTATGTTCATTTTTATTTAATAATTCATTTCGTTGTGTACTTAATTTTATATGTTCTAAATCATCATTTAATTTTTCAATTGTTATTTGTAATTGATTAATTTCAAATGAATATTTATTATGTAAATCTCGTATTGTTGATTCAAGTTCATGTCGTTGTTTTCTTAATAATGTTAATTCTTGTTCACGTAATTGTTGTTCTTGAATAAAATATAAAAGATTATTATTATCAGAATTTATTGGACTCATTGGACCACCTATTGTTGATGTTGAATGATGATTATGATTATGAGAAAATAATTCATTTATTATTGTTGGTGATTCATCTATTTGTTGTATATCAGATATTGAATTCGATATTTTATTATTATTAAGTATTGTTGATCGATCTAATTGTTTTTTCATTGTTTCTAATTCATGATCTTTTTCATTTAATAAACGTTGTGTACGTTCACGTTGTTTTTCTAATTCACATTCAAGTTCATTTAATTCAACACGTTTTCTTGTTAATATTTGTTCCATTTCTTGACTATGTTGTTTATGAATATTTGATAAACATAATTCAAGTTTTTCAACAACTTGTGTATGACGATCATTTTCACAATTATATAATGATTGACTTTGTGCTAATTTTTCACGTAATTGATCGATTTGATTACGTAAATCATCGATTTCTTTTGAAGAATTTGTATCCTAAAAATGAATGCATAGTTTATTGTTTTTTTCATATTTTTTTGTAGTCTAATAACATTTTGTGTTATGGCTAAAAGTAAAGAGACATTCATGATTGCCTCGTAGGTAATTGTTCGTGAGAAAGATTTTCTATAGATGTATAACTGACCCTAGATATTTCACAGTAATAAGTTGAGCGCAATACATGGAACTATTCAAGAAATATACACTTATTATGAATCAAACAATAGATAATCGCCTGATGAGGATTACTGATTGATATCAAATGCTTATGAAGCCATGGTTTCATATTTAAAACGAACGAAGAGTAAAGCTAGAAAAATACAACTCAAATGTTCATTTTGAAAATAATGCTTTCTCTTTAGAAAACAGTATAGGAAAAGAATAGATATTAGGACAAAAAGTTCATTCAATCCAAGTCATACATTTTCTATTGTCAGATCTATGATGGCGAGATTCGTAATTATTAGAAATTTATTGAATAGTTCCGAACGTAACAGTCAGTGAAGTATTCAAACAATTATTTTTTTTTTCTATAGCATGCTTCAACAAAAGTTCGAGAAAATTTTAAAAAATTATTATAAACTCTATCAATGGTAGTGTTTTCGAACATGTACAGCACTGTCAATCTAACTATGTAAAAATCTCGAAATCAAATTTATTGATAATAATCATATTTTTCGATGGGAAGGATTCGAGGTCCAAATATAATTCAACATATTCTCCAGGATAGAATTTCACCATGTAATCAGGTAGTCGTACATCTTGTCTATCTGCATAATCATTCTTGCTGACTACATCCCAAAATCTCGTTTATCTTATATCGGAAGACTTTCTGAATTATTCAGTGCGAAATTCGAGACTTGTACAAAAGTATCTCCTGCAGAACTCTACTAGTAAGCAATCATACTTTTTTTTAGCTTCGTCAATTTTCATTCTTTGTCCTCCGCCGACAAGTATTCTTATACATTTCTATGATCTCTCTAAATGTCATCTCATGCTTTCCGTCTTGTACTAAAATGTGCTGACAAGTAGCCGAGCATACTAAAGTATCAGTAGTGTATAAATCTTTGTCAGATGAACAAATGTTGAATTATTGACTTTAGAAATTCAAATATCCTACCGACAAATCGGAACTTGAATGAAAAGATATTTCAGTATATGTGTATGAAGAACAGACTGATGTTTTCGTACACTCATAGAAATCCTAGTAAATATTTCATAAGTCATATATAAAAAGAAGTGAGATAGAATATAATTTAAGTGTCATATTGTCTATGGCGTCATCTAATTTATTGTTGATCGTTATGGTTGAGTGATAAATAATAATATTCTACACTTTATATCTCATGAAAAAAAAATATATATAAAACTTAAATAATCATAAAAGAAAATTTAATTAAAGACATAGTTCTTGTTTTATATAATACCTTAATATTTTTTGCTTTAAATACAGCAACAGTTTTATTTCGATATTTTTCTAATTCATTTTTAAGTCGATCAATTTCTTCATGACATTTACTATGTAAAATTTTATTATTTTCTGATGATAAATTTATTCCATTAATATTTGTTGTTCCTGATGACATTTCACGATCAATATTAAGAATATCTATTTTTAATAAAATCAAAGTAAGAAGTACAAAAAAAAAAAAAAACAAAATTTAATTATTTCTACCTTCAATTGTTAAAGATTTACCAAAACGATCATTTGCAACACGTATTAAAACTTTTAATTTAGCTATACGTTGCATTAATGTATCTAAATCATGATGATTATCATCATCATTTATTATATCAACATCATCATGTTCAATAGATGTTGATGAAGCTTTTGTTAATAGAGCATTTTCAACATCAAGTTGTGCTATACGTTCTTTTAATCGTTGAATAATCATTTGATCTTGTGCACTAACAAAATGTTTTATTTTATTTCTTTTTTCTTTGGAAAAGAAGACAAAAAAAAAACAAAACTTACCGTTGTTTTTCAATAAGACCAATCTGTTCAGATAAATCAGCAAAATGTGTTTCATTTGTTGACATTTTCTGAGCATTTTCATTGATGATATCAGCTAATTTTTTTTCTAATTGTTGATTTCGTTTTGATTCAACTCGTAATTGATCAACATGTTTGGTCTAAAACTCAGAGAAAAATTGTCTTTTAATCACTCCAAAAACAAGGATATTGTTAATCATTAAATGCATGAATGTGAAATCGATGTGCTACGCACACTTCACATAGTATTTATTTTTATTATGTAAGTATGCAAGAAAATATCTTTAACTTACTTCCATATCTTTTATTTTTGATGTTAATTGAAGAATAGTTTCTTTTGATCGTTTCAATTCTTCGACGTCAACTCTTTTTTTTTTTGTTTCAAAAATACAAAATACATAAAAATTTACAGAAGTTTTCTTTTAAAACACTTACGAATCTTTTTCTTTTAATTCATTTAATTTTGTTTGATGTTGACTATTTAAATTATTATATTGTTTTTTTAATGTATCTAATTGACTTTCAAGTGTAACTATTTTTGCTCGACTTTCTTCAAACTAATTTAATTAAATTTTGAAAAGAAAATATTGATTTTTTGTTTTTGTTTTTGAATTTAATAAATAAATTTACTTGATGTTCTATTGTTTCATATTTATTACGTTCAGCTGACAATTGTGTTTGTAATTCACGTATCATAACACCATGATCAGCTGTTGCACGTTCATGATCACGTTGAGATTGACGTAATAATTTTTTTAACTGAAATCAAACAAGAAAATCATTAGACATGAGAGACGATTTGTGTATAGTTTTAATTCATAAAATAAAGTTCGAAAAGTGTTATATTCCTTTCGTAGATAAAGCGGCTTTCGTTGGACTACATTTTTGTGTAAATTCAATTCAGATTGCTATGAAGAGCGTCTTCGATTATATAGATAGGCGTCTCGAATGTTGCTCTATCTAATGTTTAAGGCCTCCCCTCCCCTCAAAAAACGTCAATTTTCGAAATTGAGATAAATGCATGGGAAGATAGCCTGTTATCTGCTCTTTCATAAGCGATAAAAAGTTTTCCTCGATACCTCATTTTTTCCAAAAATTTTTCAAGTTTTTCGAGGCTCCCTATTCGAAAAACCAGCGGTTTTTTTGAAAAATCACAAAATGTTTTTCATTTTTTCTCGGTTTGTGACTTTTTGATCGTCTGTCCGAGATTTCTCTGTTCAAGCTCTTTCAATATATTTAAATTTTTTTTTGTTTGAAAGAGCGTGTCAAGATGCAGGACACCACAGAGTCCTTTTTTTAATTAAGTTTTGTTTTTTACTATATATACAGACAGAGACACCCATTTTTGGTGCGTTTTTTGAGTCATTGAACTTGTGATCCCTATTTTCCACTAAAAAAGTAAAAATTTAAAAAAAGGACTCTGTGGTGCCCTGCATCTCGACGCGCTCTTTCAAACAAAAAAAAATTTAAATATATTCACAGAGCCTGAGCCGAGAAATCTTGGACAGAAAATGAGCTATTTTTCGACCCTTGTTTGGTTCATATCTCTGTCAAACATCAGGGTATCGAACTGAAAATTTTACCACAGCCGCCATACTTCAGCCTCAACATATGCTCCAAATTTTAGCTCATTTGAACGCGCCTGGGCTGAGATCGGTTTTTGGGGGGGGGGGGGGAGGGCCTTAACTATGATTTGTAAAAGAGATTTTTTTCAATTCAATCAAAAATAACATATTGGAGAAACGGAAGCAAAAAAACAAAGCTAGTTTTTTACGCTTTTGATCACCGTTTTTCTTCCGATCAAGTCCTACAATTATCTTCAATTACTGTAAAGAGACTGTATTATTGATTGTGTATTAATAGAAAGAAACATCTTCATAACTTGTACTGAAAATTTCAAATTTTTCTCATGAGCTATTTTGTAGAAATTCGAGGAGAAGAATGCTTTTATTGCTAACATGTCTTAGCATTAATTAATTTAAATACAAATGCTAAAAATTTGAGTATTAATCTTATTATTAAGTTATGAATTATTTTTGTAAAATTCGAATGATTTAAAATCTCTTTTTTTTGTTTTTATTTTCAAAATATTTATATATGAAATTTAAAACTGATTATATAATAACCTCTTTAATTTCATTGTCAGATTTTTCTTTAATAATAATATTTTCTGCTTTTGCTTCTTCAAGTAATCTTTTTAATTCTTCATTTTCAATCTAAAAATATAACAAATGAAAATATTAATTTTTATAATCAATTAAATAATCAAACTTTAAGTTTGCGTTTATCTGATTGAAACATTTGTTCCATACGTTGTTTTTGTTCTGTAATAATTGCAACATTATGTTGTAAAGTTTGAAGTTTTTCTTTAAATATTTGTTGTTCCGATTGTGTATGAATATTATCTGCTTCACTACCAGATCCATTATCCTAGATTGATAAAATTAGTAAAATTTTCAAAATAAAATAAATATTATTATACTTCTTTTGTATTTAAATTTGTATCATTTTCTGCAATTATTGATTCTCCACTTGTTGTAGTAGGTACTGTCGGAGATGAAAATACTCGAACAGTAGATTCAAGTGCTTCTTTTTCTTTTTGTAAATTTTTATAAGCAGCAACAACATCTATAAATAAGATATTAATAAGAAAAAGAAAATATAAATATTAGTAATCTAACCAGCAAAACGTTGTTCAAGACGTGTTATTCGTACTTGCTGTGCTTCGATTGTTTTTGTTAATTCACTTTTAGATGACATTATTTATTCATTTTTTTTTTTTAATATTTTTTCTTTATCTAAAACTTTAAAAGAAAAATATTAATAGTTTGTTTTTTTTTTTTTTATTCTTATTTTCTAAAAAATAACAAAAATTTCCTAATCATGATCTATGATATATTTTCATTTAACAATAATTCTGTTGTTTGTGCACGTTGTACAATCCATTCAAATATTTCTTTAGTTGTTTTTACTTGATGTAAAGAATCATTTGGATAGATCTGAAAAACAAAGAAGTATTTGAAAAAAACGCATTTCAAAAAAAAAAGGATATTCTTACAATAACAGGAATATATTTTAATTTTTGTAATTGATGAGCTTTGGAATAGAATAAACCAAGTGGTCGAAATGGTTCATTTATACATAATTCATCTTCATTAAGCACTTGAAGTGCATACCTAAAAGAATTACATACGTTTAAACTTAACATAGAAAATCTACTTTCGTTTATAGAACAGATGTTTTGAAATGAATGATCAATTTTTGTACTTTTTCTATGTTTACAGCTTACGAAGGAACTATCGTAATTGTAATCCACGGTTGAAACTCATATTAAAACTACAAAGAAGTCTTGCGAAGATAAAAAAAAATCTTGAGAGGGTTCGGGCCCATGAGCATTTGAAGTCGAGTTATAATCGTTTTGCTGAGCTTTCAATTCATTTTTAAGTATTCATTGAAAAATTAAATCAGGGAATTTTATCTTTAGATTTAATAAGTCTTAAAATTCTTTTTTTTTTTTTGAGATATTGAATTTCGAAAAGTATAGTTACTTGCTACAGATATGTCACAAAAATTGAGTTTATTTGGAAATTCCACATCTACTCCTATTCGAAGAGTTATTAGATCTATCTATAGATAAGCGAGGTAGTATAAATCAAAAAACAAAGTATTATAAAGAATTATTATATTATATTGAACTTGCTCTTTCACATTTACAAGAAAAAACATCGATTACTGAATGTTATCGAAACCTTTGTTCGATAGTGAGATTTGCCTATGTTAAATTTTTTTTTTCTTGCAAAACATTTCGTTAATATTAACACTTATTCATAGTCAATAGTTATTGAATTTAGAATGAAAATTTTGAATAACTTACAATGAACATTCATTTTCACTCTCATCAAAAAAACTAATACTTTTCACTTTGCCATTTGGAATAATTTGTGGTTGTTGTTTAGCATTTAGACAAATAATAATATCTAAAATATTTTATTTTCTTGAAATCTAATATATTCATTTGCATACCAGGACTTTTAAAATGTTTCAAAAGAAAAGCACTTTTAACATAAAGACGATTAGGTACACATTCTAATAATCGTTGTATAACAATAGAAAAATATGGTCGTTTTCTTTTTTCGATTTCCCAAGAACCAAATATATGATGTGGTAATGATTTAAGATAATTCTACTAAAAATAATATGTAATAATTTTTCTTATGAATTTATTTATATATATATATTCAAACCTGATCAAGTAATGATTTTTGTGATGAACAAAGAAGTTTATATGATTCAGAAATAAAGAATAATTTTTCTTTCATTCGTGATTCTAAAAGACAAACATAAAATTTCCATTAATAATCTTGAAAATTTCGATTTTTTTTTTGTTTTCGTAATGATAACTCACATTAAGAATCTAAATAATGAATTGAATAGAGAAGACTCTCTTCAAAAAGGATCTAAGAGAAATAAAAGCTTTTCGAGTTCTCTAAAGCATTTTTTGACTGAATTTAAAAGACATATATTTCAACGTTCTTTAATATTGATAGAGTACATTTAAAATATGTTCCAGAAAACTCAAAGATAATCTTATTTTGTAGTAAATTATTTTTTCTGTCGTTTCATATAATCGATTTTTTAAATGTTGTGAATATTTTATTTCCTTTCAATCCTTATTGGAGACAATTTTCTTCGTTTAAGTCACTATTTGAATTTTTTTCTTCGAAATAATCATTTAAGAAGTTCGAATAAGTTTTTGAAGTTTAATGTAAAACTCGAATATATGAATTAGAATTAATAGTCAAAATATTATCATTGAATTCTAAAAATTATTTGTAGGAAAAATTTTATCATATGAAATATGATGATTTAGTATCTTAGAATAGTTTTACATGTCTTTATGTTACTACGAAAATTTTCTTATACATAATATCAACAAAAAAAAAAGACATCGAAAGGAAAACAATTAATAAAATGATAGATTAGTCCATTTGAACAAGAACTATGCGAAATATTTTTTTTAAACATCGGAAAACTATTTACTCAAGATTAGAATTAACAGTTGAAAAACCTGCTTCTATATGATTTTAATTTCATTCTATTGTTAGTCTCTCTAAATCTATTATACATATTTAGAAAAATTTAATTAAAATGTTTTACCAATTAATTGATTTAAATTTTCTTTGGTAAAAAGTTCTTCTAATAAATTCTCTGGAAAACAATTAATCATTGCTAATGATGCAAGTACATCGATTAAACGTTCAGATTTTTTATTAAATTGATTCATTTGATGATATATATAAATTAATTCAAGATATTTATGATTTTGTTTTTGTACATAACCCATATAAATAAGTGTATTCATTATTTGTATAATATCTTTAGCTCGATATAATGGTATAGATGAATTTGATTCTAATTCAATTAATTTTAAACAATTTTTAAAAAATTCATTTGAATAAAAATGAAACATAGAAAAATAAATTCCAATACGCATTGTCATACGAACAATTTCATAACTAAATGAATATAAATTTAATTTTATATATTTTTCAAATGATTGATTAAATCGATTTGTTAATGATTGTGCTATATTTATATTTCCATAATTTGATAATGTTAAAATTTTAATAAAATTTTGTTTATCAACAGCTGAAAGAAATTTTTTATTTTCATCATTAATTAAATATTTTGCAATATATTCAAGTAAATAATTATTTTTTAATGATATTTGTAAACGATACATTGCTGAACAAAGAAGACTAAGATCAAATAATGATATTGAATTAATTTGTTTATTAGTTAAATTTAATTCTAAATTATTAATAAATTTTTGTAATATATCATTTGAATGTTTTGTTTCTATATCATAATATTTTTGTTGATGAAAAACAAATAAATTAATAAGTTCAATAAATAAATTTGAATGATATTTATTATTTATTGGTAATACACATTCAATTAAACGTTTTGTTAAGAAATTAAGTTTAATATTATGTTCATAGGCAAAAAATAATATATCATTAAGTTGTTCAATAGATATTTTATATGAAAAAAATTTATATTGATTTATAGAATTTAAATTAATTAAATAATTAATAATAGATGAAGTTTTTAATACTGATTCAATATGTGTACGAATATGATTTAACATTTGAGTTTTATTATTATTGTATATTTTAAGACGACGTGTATAAAAATAATCAAATGTTTTTCGATCGAAATTTTTTACTATTAATCGATGATTATTATTATTATTATTATTGCTTAAATAACGAGAGAAAAAGGATGGAAATAATAACCATCGTGAATAATTAATAATAGAATTTCGAATCATTTTTATCTAAAATAATAAATAATATAAGAATCTTTTTAATCAACTATCTTTATAAAAGATCACTTTATTTTACTATTGTGTAAAATATTTTGAAAAAAAGTCTATCATTAAACTTTTTCTATAGACTAGACTCGGGTCTATGTAATCATTTTCTACTAATTAAAAGAATATTTTGATATAATCGAATGTTAGATTTCTCTTAAAATTGTGCGAAATAAGAACATCATTTTTTTAAAAATAATTCTCAGCTATGTTTCAAAGTCCACAATTGTTTATATTCATCTAAAACTTGTTTAGATTTTAATTTTTATTATAAATATATTATTCATATCAGATAACATGATAATCAATCGATATTATGTACTTGAATATAATGTGTAATAAAATGACTAGGCAATGTCTTATCAATTATATACGTTTTATCTGAAGTTAAAAAAAAAAGAAATCATTTCATTTTTATATTCAAAATCTAATATTTAACATAGTTTTCATTTCTTTAAACATTAAATATTGAATAAGTAAATATTTATTAAGTTGACCTATTATAATTATTTCGTTGATTATAAAAGTTTTTATCGTATTAATAATTATATTGACATTAATGTTCATTTAAACTTGTAAAATGAATTTTCTTACGGTAATAATACATCAACATGTTAATTATGAGTTAATTGTCATCAATAATTCAATAATAAATTAGATAGTTTCCAGATTTGATATATATATTGCTATTATTTTATTAATATCATGTCGTTTAGATTTGTTTTTTAAATTTAATGATTGTTAAAATTTTATTGATCGAATTAATATAATGTTCAAAGAAATCACGATGAGTAATAATAAAATCGAAGTAGCAACGAAGTGAATTGATTACTACATATACAAAAGATATCCTAAAAATGCTAAATAATATTAAACTATATGAAAGATAATATAAACAAACACATACTACAATTATCTAATTAATTTTCGATTTTATTTTGTGACAAGGACATAAAGTATCAAATTGATGTCCTAGATATTCTATTATGAAATTATTTAAAAGACATGGCTTTTTTTTTATTTTTATTTTTTTAACTCAACTAAAATAGATTTATAGGTAAGTCATTAAAGCAGCGGTTGGATCATCATTCATTAAAATATTAATATTAACGTAGATTTTATATTATTATGTTGATTCAATTTATTCATTTTAATCTAGTCAATCATAAGGAAAAATTTTTAGTGGATAAGATTTATACTAATAGGAAGTCAGTATTACAGAACCATCTATGAAGATGGCATACGTAGCGCATGTAATCATCTAAAATAACAATCAAATAAATTATGAATTAAATGCTACAATAACTAATGCTTTATATCTGATGCAAAACAAAATTATTGAAAGATCTCAATAAAGAAATTATTTCAATTGAAATGTATACCAAACAAATATCTATTAATTGATGATATTAAAAGTGATACAGGATGTGCAATAAATATCTTCATTACAAAAAACAAACAAACAAACATCTCCACATTGGTTCACTGAATCGGATTGAGTTTTTTCTCATTGATAGAGGACAGTTAAAAGTGTTGGTTTTCATAGGAATACTGTCTATTAGATGCCTTTTTGAGCTATCCTTTATCAATCAAATACAAAAAATTGAGTGCGTCAGGATGTGGTTGTGTCAATGGATTTGAGTAGATGTGACCAGTGGGAGATAACATATGGCACAACCTCACTGTTACCCACCAAAACATGTAGGCTTTCATAATGTCTCTAGAGTCAACGGCTACTAGCGATAGGGTGATCTTGACCATTTGTGTTACGAAAAAAAATGTAAACTTCTTTAAAAAAAGAAACATAAAAATTCAAAATGCCACACACACACACAAAGATTGTACGCAACACAATTTGATCTTCACAATAGCATCTTCATTTCTCGGCTTGACGGTTTCCAAATTGAAGTTTTCTAAAGACTTGAGCAGCTCAATTTAAATCGTGTTAGAAAATGTATTCTAAAAATACTTTAGTACTTTCATGTATGCAAACAGAAGTAAAATTAGACCTAAATTCATGTTTTTTCTATTCGAATTCACTCAACGAACTGTACTGTCTTTAAGTGGGTGTACGAAAACAGTCACTGTGTTTTGAGAGCTAATAGAATAATGTCATTTATACAGATAAGACGATTTATTAAGCGAATTCAGACAAGAAAAAATCGACTCTGTCCCTAACGCCACCTCTATGTGCATACATATGTGTGTGTTATTCGAGCAACAACTACTTTACTATGTCTCGATAAAGTTTGCACTTTTTTATTACCAAAATGATCAACACAACACCCAGGAATTTTGTAAACGTTATATGATTCATCGAAGTTGAAGACTTTTATATAAATCATTGGATGAGTCTGGTGGAATCACTCGATAATATTATTATCAGAGTTCAAACAATCCATTTTTGACTTAAGTTGTAATTAGGATGCAGAATGTGTGGATAGCTATGTAGAGTGATTCATATAAATGGATGATCTACGATGATTAGGGTGTAGGTGAAGAAGAGACTCACACCCACATCATGATTGATATTAGGCTAGGTTCTTTGTATGCTTTATTTTGTGTGGAGAAATAGAATAAAAGAAAAATACTACATCGAAAGATTCGAACTTATCATCAGGTTTTCGCTATCCTATGACAAATAAACACCTCAAATGACGACGATGAGGATCTCACATAGATGTTTCTCAACAAACTCATCATAATATTTCATAAAATTTGCCTTCGATAGGAAAACCGAAGTATAACAAGGGATTTCAGCTTATGCTATGTAGAACAAATTACATCGACATTTGCTATTTCATGGAAAATATTTTGCTTTCCTTGTGCACGACAACTTTTCTTGTAAAACTTCTTTGTTTAAGTTTGCATATAGAAGATCATTTTGAATTACACTAAGTTTCTGTTTCTTACAACTTTATTGTTTTTCTTTTCACTTTAATACATTAAAATTCCGTTGTAGTCAAGCTAATTTTCCGTAATTTCATTTAAATGATACTTGACCAAAACTAGCATACTTTTGTATGAGGAAATATATCTTTTATGAATTTGTTTGTCATTCTTTTTTTCGTCAACAATAATCGATATAAAAAATGAACTTTATTCGGTAAATAATGTTTTGGTGTCAATTAGAAATTGTTCGATATGATCATCATAAGTTTTATTAGGATGAAGTTCTTTAAGATGAAAAAGCATTTATAATATCATATTCAAAAATGATGTTCATCACTTGAAGTAAATAAATATGACATTAACTTTCGTTTGCATCTGGAAATTAATCAACACTAGAAATAATTTGATTAATAAGAGATATATTAAATATAAATTCATTTATTGATTTCATATCAATAATAATATTCTTGTTTGAATCCTTACCGTCAATAAATGTTTTATTGTGATAGGCCAAAACATACAAGTCGAGTTTTTCTCGATTCAACATTTGATGTAGAAGTTGTGTGGGTATGAATGTGGGTCTAGATGTGGGTATTCGTGTGAGTGTATGAAGTTCGTGCTATTGCCTTATTCGGCAGTCACATTCACATCCACACCCACACCCTGCTAGTGAGTTGCCTACCTTTCTGCCACACACTCGTCTGCTGTGCAGCTTTCTCTATTCAATGTAATAGAATCAACGAAACTAAAAACCGTTGTGCCCTTCGATCAACCATGCATGTGACGCTAGATAGCTTTATTTACTTTTTTCAATCATATATGGTGACATCAGATAGATCCGACAAACAATGTTGAGAAATTACGCAGTTTAGAGAGATAAAATACTTGAAAAAAAGGGAAAAGTAGTAGATCTATGATCAATCAAGGCTTTTGCAAGTTGCAGTCCAACGTGGCAAAGACTTTACGGAGTCTTTTTGCACGACAAATAAATTGTTTGGTTGTTTGCCAGTGGTCTAATATTTTTTTGCTTGGTGTGATACTTGCGAAAATATTTACGGTAAATTGAGAGCTCTCGAGATCCTGCTACAGCTGTGTTGATCTTTGTCGATAAATGATTGAAAGGGAAGACATCGAGCAAGGCACATGACGGTTCGATGGTTTGGTTCAAAGAGCATTCATAAGTGAGTAGCTGGCACCAAATATAATCTAGTCCCCATCCAAATCCCGAAAGAACGCTTAAATGATGCCACAAGCATTGCCATGCTGATGAACTTCCGACGACCATAGGACCGATCTCTACAAAATCTGTCCATCGACCGATCTTGTTAATGAAAAATTGGTCTATAGTTGTAATCGAATGCGAAGAAATGCCGTGTAATAGACCTGGAGACGATAAACTAACATTCAACTGTGTAATAACGCATTCATAATGCAACGGATCAAATAATAACTCTACATCATCATCGAGAATCCAAATATAGTTGTATGCTTTTAGAATAGGTGGTGTTAGGAAGCGTTTAAAATACCAGAACTTTTTCTGAGCATTCACATGTATCCAAATCAGTCGTTCATGATTGAGAAAAGATGACCAACTCGAATTATCATGTACCATGATGACAATAGTGAAATGATCTTCAGGAAATACTTTTAATATGTTTTTCGCTAGCCACTTATCGCGTGAAGTCTCTCGCCAGAATGACACTACTAAGCTTTTGTTTGTTGTGTAACAGCTATTTCGATTTTCTCCATTGCAGTCAATATGTGTTTCCAATGAAATGCTCATATTTACAAATTGCTGGATATTCACTATTTCATTAATGGCTATAATATCTTTCTTATTAGATAGGAATCTTGAGTAGAGATTATTGCTTATATTAGGTACGAAATAACTCACAACTATGAATACAGTAACCGCAATAATACTTATTGCCAGCACCAATCTATTGTTCAACACTAACAGTGATTTAATCGTTGTTTGAGAATTGATGATATGCATTCTAATCTTTGTTAACTTAAGATCTTTTCCACACAAAAATAGATTTAAACGAATGAAAGTATTAATAAAG